CTGACATCTATATGTGTATTGCTTGTGCAACTCCCATGTGCGCCCTGTACAGATGCTGAGAGCCAGAATGTGATATCAATCCAGTCCAGGCAGCTCTACAGGACACGCGAGGGAGCTGTAAGCAATGCACGTATGGAGCAATTTGCAAGCATTTTTGAGGAAAAAAATGGTATGGAGAGCTGTGAACAGGACATGTATGAATGGACTTTAAAAGGAGAACTATGGGGTTAAGGCTTTTCCCCATAGTTCTCCTTAGGGTAACGGGTAACACAAACTAGCGTCCTCCCGTTACCCTAGGCTCAGTATACCGCGAGCTGCAGCTCGCGGTATACTGAGACGCAACAGTATACCGTGAGCTGCTGCTCACGGTATACTAAGACGCTGAAGCGGATCCCGACAATTATGCCGGGATCCGCCAGCTGCGTGACTGACAGCTGGCTCTGCCTATCTAGAGGCAGAGCCAGCTGTACCCGCCCCCTCCCCCGTCCGTTCCGCCAGTCAGCGCTGCAACTGACAAGACCTGGCTGACCTCATTGACCAAATATGGTATGGATCATATTTGGTCAACATTACCTCTGTACCCCAAAGACCCCCTTTCCTTACCCCTTCACCCATGATGGGAGAAGAAATCTCCCTAATAAGGAAAGACTACAATAAAAATATGAGAGGCTCTAACCTTTCATTACTTTATCCAAAACAACAAGGAGGTTGCATAATACGTACAGGCACCATTACACATTTGTAGGAAAACGATCACTAAATCTTGCCGCTGCAAAATGTGTTGAGAAGAAGCGTTCATAAAATTAACACATTTCAATCAATGGCACATTTAAGTAATCTATTACAAGACATCAAAAAAAAAACAACCTTGTGTATCATCAGTCTTAGTGGCTCTTGGATGTCGAATATTACTTTTAAAAAACACATTCTGGGAAATGTATATATAGTAATGGCCTGCTATTGGAAAATGTATACTATGCAGCAGGAAATGTACACCTGGGGGGAGGGGATTTGTTTTTTTCTGTGTAAAGCTTGCTATCTTCTAGAAGTGATTTAGTTGACAGTAAAGCCACCCAATGACCACTTCTACATGCTGGGAAAGGCAACTCCCCTAACCCACGCTCCACCATTTCTCAGGACTTCCATGGTATGGGTTAGGAGGGAGAGTAGTGGGACACGGCGAACTTCAGTTTGCTCCTCTCCCCTTGGTAGTATAAAGCTGGTAGCGTTACATTCTGTGCACTTCTGGGCTCCGAGCTGTCAAACCCTGGCTGCTATGGCTGGGGAAAGAAGCTGATCCAGCACTGCCTGTCCTTCATCTGCTTCAACAGAATGCAGAGGTGACATTATCAATAAAAGCACAAACATGTTGAAAATAAATCAAGCTTAGCGCCCCCCCCCCAATAAATAAAAGCCTTGTGCCCCAGTAAATACAAATATACAAGTTGGGTGTACATGTCTACAAAAAAACAATGATTGTGCCACACATTAAATATCACCACACATGGTGGAGTGAGAGCAATCATTCCAGGGCTTTCATTCACTACACAATACAGGAGCTGTAAAGGCTTTTCAAAGCCACATTTGTTTAATGTTTCATGGTATCTATTCGGCACAATCTAATGTTTTTACCAAAATATTGATTTTATTGTGTCACTAAAATAAAATTGAATGCATTTTTGTTACTCAAAATATAGATTTAATAACAGTAAAACAATATTTTTTACAAAAAATTTTAACTGCCGATATTTTACTCTGGGGGTTTAAAGCAGACTGGCAGAGCTGACTTAAAAATTAGAGCCATTTGTCCATGGTTAGACAATGTACAATTGTAAGCATAGGCCATTGTGCTACTAATTTTAAGAGTTCCCCCAGTGTTAGGGTATCACTACTGGCCATTGAGGTACCTGATCTGTGAACGTGGGTGGCATTCTGCAATCTCAATGGATAATGTTGAATGGAGGTTGGGGGCAGGGGTGGTTGTAAATATCTGTGTGTACGAGTGTCTGTTCTTATTTGCAGTGTGCATTGCTTTCTTTTTCTCTATTTGAAACTGTAAAATTACTAAATAAACACTTTTCAAAATTGTAAAGTAAATCTGACCGCTGCAATAAGAAAAACTAATCCTAAAATGTGGGTGTAAGCCACAGACCAAAATATGGGGCATAGAGTCTACATCCTGACCCGAATCAGAGAAGTCCAGTGTGTCAGATTTAATAGAGGAGGGGAGACAAAGGATGATAATGACCTAAGGGTCAGAGATGGCCCACAGAACATAGCTGAACCAGACCATAAGGAGTCCCCTTCAAATAAGAGCCAAATGACAGCCAAGTCCTGTGGTGCTGAAGGTTAAGACCAGCAGTGGCACATAATGATGCCACTTTAAAAATCCAACGTTGAACCACACCTGGAGTGCCAGAGGGGATGGTCAGGAAACAGCATTCAGTGGAGTTTAAAACAGACTGACCTTCAAATGCTTTTTACATACTATTGGTAACATAGCTGTCTAATTGCACTAGAATGATGATGATGGATAAAAAAAGTTTGGCTCGGTGTGGAGATGGGAAAAGCACATGGTACAGGTGCTGTGTGAAGCAAACTTGTGTCTGTGTACCCACAATACTGCTGGCCGAAGGAAGCTAGTATAAAGGCTCAATGATGTTATGGGTATAAGACATGCCTGCCCAGTGTGTCATCAAGTACTGGTCCACATGCAAATGGCTGAAATTACAAAATGGCAGTTGCACATAAGATTTGCCCAGCAGCTAAAATGCACCTAACTCTCATCGAAAGACAATAAAAGGAGGTTAATCCCAACTTAATTATAGAATACACAGCCTGTAAACCTATATAGGAGGTAAAGAAGGGTAAAAAGAGAAAGTATTTCCCTCCCTCACTGTCCAGTAAGTGTAGCAGCTTCTGTAGGAAGAGCGTATAAGAAAAAAATCATCAACAGGGCATACGACCTGATAATGCATAACAAGGAAGCTTAAAAGGTGCCCACACACCTTACAATTTATCTGCAGATTTTCTGTGGTCAGATGGAAAAAGTGCAACAGATTGGCCCCGGTGGAGATTACTCCATCCACACAGTTTAATGTAGATGGAGGAATCTGTTGCACTTTTTCCATCTGACCACAGAAAATCTGCAGCTAAAAATTGTAAGGTGTGTGGGCACCTAGAGATGGGGTTAGATTAGAAGAACTGCCACAGCCGTGGTCCCGATAACTCAGGAAGGAATCCCCAGGCATATTGGCCTGAACTAAAAAGCTGAATCCTGTGCTTTCTGGAGCGCTTCTTTGCTAACCAGGGAAACTTCCAAGGTTTAAACGTATTATGCAAGAATCTACCATCGCTGTTAGCTGACTGAAGAGACTTCCAGAAGTTAATATAGCCAGCATGAATATACCAGATGTTGAGGGTAAACAAAGCACAGCAGAGCTGGGGGGGAACACACATTCACTCTCCTGAAGACACTAGAAAAAACTAAGGCGATTGTTGTGGATGGGGTGATCCTGGGCTGGCCAAACGGGTTTTTCTTTGTTTCCAGTGTTTTTCTTCTAAAAGCGTAATACTGATATTCTAAGACTTCCTGTGTCCCTCAATGGACTAGAAAGAAAGTAGGAGTTTTGTACTCACTGTAAAATCATTTTCTTGGAGTCCATTAAGAGACACAGGTCCCTCCACCTGTTTATTGCTCTCAGTACTACTTTCCTACAAAACAGAGGCATGATGGTTGTGGGCAGTGTTATCCAGTACTGGCCAATGGATAAGAAAGATATCAAATTGAAAAAAAATCCATAAAATTTAAAAAAATCCAAAACTCTTTGTCTTGCATGGCCAGAAGATTTCTATTGACCTCTATACCCAGAACAATACATTCTGCCACTATCATCTTGAAAAATCAATAAAGTGGAAACTTCCTAAATGACCTTGTTCCAAAAGCCATATAATATACTGTTGGTTTCAGTGTGTCAATCACCCAGCGTCATACAGCAGAATTAAGATTGTGCCACATCTTCCTCATACAGAGCAACCCGTGAGAGTTCAGAAAAAGTTCACAACCTTCAACAAATGGACATATACATTTTATACACAAAGTAATACAAATTCAGACTGTACAAAAGTTTTTGTTTAACATACATATATATATACAAAATATTGATAGAATAAAACCATTAAAGGATAAGGTAACTATTAAAGATTCCCCCCACCCCCAAATGTTGATATTTGTGTTAAGGTGCCCATACACCTGCCGATTATCGTACGGGTGATCCCCGCGATCGTACGATAATCGGCAGGTGTATGGAAGGCGTGCGACCGGTTCTACTGTACGGTCGCACTTCTTTTCTGACCCCGCTCGAAAATTATACGATTTTCGCCGGGTTAGTGGCGTGCTTGGAAGACAAATGCCGAACGGCCGGTGTGGGCAAGCGCACACTGCCCGCTCAGCATTGGAATCATCGGAAGCTGATCGCAAATGCGATCTGTCCAAGATGGGCAGATCGTATGAAATTTTAATCTCCTTACAACCATCACACAACGAAAGTCGTGCAATGGTTGTAAGGTGTATGGCCAGCTTTAGATGTTACTTATTGAAATGCTGCTTCTCCAAAATCCAGGCTGTGTGGCCTGCAGAGAGCCACATGATATAGAGTGAAATTCTTCTCAGCAGTGCATGTGCAGCCAGAACTCAATGGGTATACAAGGCAACAGACAGGCCAACTGCTTTCCAAGTCAGTGGAGGGGTGTGTGTGTGGGAGCAGCATATCATGAAAGCATAATTTATTGCAAACATAATCACAACAGTTAGGATTGGGCTGCGGTGAATAATGCACTTATTGAAGGGAATGAGGTATTGCCAACAAGGTAATTTTCCAAAACTTGCAAGAGTTGTCCATTAAGCAACATTTGTAGGCTTGCACTTTGCTGTCACTGCATGTCAGTGCCTTCATGTCAATACCATTTTGCAATCCACTATTATTTTATGTTTTTTTTCGTTCTGGCAGCCGAGTAAAAGTATGACTGGACTTCATTTTGGTAACGAGTTTTTTTATGAAAAGGATTAGCTTGTCACATCTGAACAATTAACACAGGGAAGAGACTGGTGGTCATTGCTGTGATAGAGATGGTGCTGCGTATGTCTTGAATCTTTCATGAGCCTTTTGTTGACTGAGGAGTCGCAGAGCCATTGTATCGACACCTTCATGTAGCCCTGGCTTTTGAGCCACCTCAACTGTGTAATCATTGGCCTGGCGTAGGGGGGAAAAAAAAAAAAAGTAAATGTTTGAATTTCTGCAATGTTCATCCAACTAAAAAATACATTACTGATGCATGCAATTGCCACCATATGCCAAACATTCAACAAAATAAAGTAAACCATCAACACCACCTGAAACATTCATTTTGTACATAACCCCCAAGTTTGAGACAAAACGCCCATTTGGTGCATTTCAAACTCCACTGGCAGAAAATTCTCACAGTGTGGTTAATTGTCTCAGGGACCAGAAGGCTGATCCTCTAAATGTCAGTAGAGGGGAACACCATTTGTTTTGTAATGGTCGTGGTGGTTAGGTGAAACTGGATTCTGGTGGTAATTTTGCCAATAAAATCATCAAAAAAGGTATTAAAAAAAAAAAAAAAAACACCCCAAAACACTATTGTGCGATTCAGCTTGCTAGAAACTCACACAACTGAAAGAACGTTTTGGGTGGCAGTATTCTTTAAAATCTAAATTAACTGAAACATCTGCAGATATTGGGCAATTAGATAGGTTTCGCTCTCCTTGATCCAGCGGACTGTCATTGGATAATGCAGTTACAATCAAGTGAAAAAGGACCTTTCAGACTGATTTGTATACACAACTGTAACCAGATGCTCATCTACATGTCATCCACAGTCCCAAAAGGGGATCGGTATGTTCTCATTTGCAGCATCATGTAAGAAGTTTGTAAAGTTAAAAAAATCATTCTGAAGAACCCCATTTACACCATCCTATTCCTCTTCCAACTGGTGCTGCCAATTTAATTACAGCAATCCACTTTGTACAGGTATTATTCAGCTGTAAGGTCAATGCATTTTCTATCTTTGGCAAAAAAAAGAAAACCCCTCTGTGCACATAAACTGAAATAAACACATGTCCAACTGAGTGGGTAGCAGAAAATGTACAAGTATGGGTTATAAAACAACTAATCAAGCACCAATCAAACAATGTCAAGAGCATGTTCACTTTTTCTAAAGTCCCTGCCAGCTGGTGTAGATGAGGTGGCAACCCCTACCAGAAAGGGAAACCTGCCAACGCGACCAAAGCAAGAGCATGGAGAATCAACCTGATGCTCCAGAACAGGATAAAGGACACTGCACATAGAAAGGACTCCCACATGGTAGGGAACTAAACCAATGAGAAGCTGAACAACCAGAGCCCACCAAAACAGGTATAACCACAAGAAAAAAAGGCTGAATAGGAATTAAAGAAAACACTGGGGCAACCCCCAGAAGAAAAACACATCTTGAGAGGGCACCTAGGACAAAAAACACATCCAGGGAAGAAAGACGATCTGGGCTACATGAAAGGAATGGAGGGATAACCCTAAAGATCAAGGGGATGGAAACTCTGACTAATGCCAATCTTCCTAAGTGATGCATACCAGAGAAGTTATGGTATCAGCATCACGCAATAGCCCACAAGGGATGTGAAGCGATACCTGAGACTTCTAGAGAACTCAAAGATTTCATCCAACAAAGTCAAAGTGACTGAAGAAGGGTGCAAGGGAGGCACCCACACAAGGGAAGGCATGAATAGAAGAAGTTAGCCCTCAGCCCCAGACTGGTGAAATGGGAACCACCAAAAGACACAGAGCATGAAACTAAAGCATTCTCTCTGACACCCAGAGGTGTCGCCGAGGCCTTGCAAAATAATGTGGAGCCTGCCTAACCCAGACCACATTCATGGGTCTAAGAAGCTCCCGATTTCCCCAGGTCCAGTGAAGCATCAACAGCCGTGGAGCGAGAGACCAGAACCTTAGCAGAACTGCTAAGAAGGAAAACCTATTTCTAGGTGAAGAGGTCCCACAAAGTCCTCTAGGCATATTCTCCAGCTGAGAGTACCTGCAGTGCAAGCTAGGGTGTTCCACCTGCTAAAAATCCAGGGAAGCAAAGGGCACTCCAGTTATGACCTCCGTCCACCACGTAGGATCTGAGGAGGTCTGAGCATTTCACAAAGTGGATGCCAGGAAAGGGCAATAGACTGAACACAAGAATCAAGAACTTATTTAGGTAGGTGACAGCCAGAGCCGGCCCTGTTGGACCTTGTAGATCAGGATGTACCTCTAGAAAGGAGGGACACCGGGGGGTACCATATACCACGAGAGGATTTTCATGTCCCAAGGATAGGGGATTCTCCTGAGGAAGGGAGTGGGAACCCGGATGGGGCACAGCTCCAGAAACTGTATTAACATATGGACTGGAGCAAAGAATCCAGGAAAACTGGGGAAGGTGTTTTGTTCTGTGCAATAACACAGGGGACATAGAAAGGTGCCACTAAAGGGAGCAACAGAGGCAAAGGATTAGACTGTGGGACCACAGGAGGATTCTCTGCACCTGAATTACTCTGAAGAAAATGACGCAGGGACCCATCAGGACACATGCACAATAGGTCCCCCACTTGTGGAAGTGGGTGCAGCTTTGTGTGGGATGCTTTTCAGAGGGGTTAGCTGACCTCTGACTTCAAGCCCTAAAGAGCTGAGTGGGAGTCAGGCTCTGAAAGCACCTACTGCAGAAGTAGATGAAAAACGGTGGGATTCAGCTGACCTCTTCCTATACCTCCGACCTTGAGGTACGTGTCCACTCTGGCTTCCTGTAGAATTGCTAATTGCGGTATTAAGTGCAGGTCTAGAAAGAGGATGTCCCTCGAAGGCTAAGCGAGTCAGATGCTCTTTGGGTATGGCATTAGTATCCCCGCAGCAAAAGTAAAATGTTCTGTACATCTATATAGACATGAGACCAATGTGGAACATAAGCTTAGATGCATGTAACAAGCAATCGAAACTGAAACATAAGGCTCCAGATATGTTCCACATGCTCCATGAAACGGGTCTACCCCAGTGGTGGAGAGATCCTTTTGAAGGATCTAACGCTGACATGGTTTAAAAGATTAAAGTCACTGCCAACACAGGAATAAGGGGAGAGCCACCCAGTTCAAACTGGGATATAAAGAAGTGATTCTAGCTGCCTGTCAGTAGAATCCTTAAAGGTAAGCACGCCTTTTATCCTTCTGCTCCTGTTAAGGTGGGTCAGTGGTGGATCCACATTGGAATAGACTAACTGTTTAACAAATTTTCTCCAAAGCAAACAGTGCCAGCACATACTCAGGTGGAGCCCAGGCGGAAGAGTGCTTCCACATAGAAAAATACCTTGAGGCCTGGTTCACACCTAGGCAAATGCGGTTGTTGAGCTGTTTTCGCATGTTTGTCATGCTGTGGTTTTTTTGGGAGCAATTTTGCTTTTGAAAACCGGTTCTCAATGCATAGATAGGTCTATAGGACCAAAACCGCACGACATCCACCTGAAAATACCTTCTGAATCTTTTTGCGCGACAGGCGATATCGCACGCATGACATAACGCTTAGGTGTGAACTGTCGCCATTGACTTGTATGGGTTTTCTTGTTCTGCGAGATAAAACACCTAGCTGTGAACCAGGCCTGAATAGCAGGTATAATGTTTTTGCAGCTGAAGCAGCTCTAGAAGACCTATGGCTGGAGACAGAAGGCTGATCCTCCAAATGCAGAGTAGTACACACTGCATCTAGAAGGTCAGAAATTACCCCTTGAAATTCTGAGGCAAAGGCTGGAGACTACAGGACAGCAAAAACAGTTTCTTTGGAGATAGACTGTCAGAATCTAACTGGTCACAGGGACCAGTGACCTGGTCTAATAACTCAGGAAGGTCAGAGATAGACTGAAGGGGATGGCGCTGAATCACATTCACAGCCTCTGCAGTCCGTTTTCATAGGAGTTAAATGCACATAATTGTGGATGTCCCAAATGTCAGGAGAGGGGACCTGGTGCCCCCCTATAACTATAGTGAATGGAGGGACAAAGTGCATGATAGTCCACCTAGTGGATGATGTCAGTTCTCAGACCCTAAGCGTTAATCCTTACTCTGGTGAAACAGACAGTAGCAGGAAATCTGTGGAGGATTTTGGGCACAGGTACAATTTAAAGAAAAATGAATCACGTTCAGCAGAGAAATGGGTCCTATATATGGGTGTACATTGAAAGCCTGAGGTACAGCCACAAACGTTCCATTCAAGCGTACAAGAATACAGGGTGTTGCAAGTGACTAGAGATGCAAGTTATTGGCATGTATTCACCTGCAGAGATATACCTGCACCACCCAGATGGTTCATTAAATACTACATCAGTACAGCTTTGCTGGAACTATGCCAAACAACTATGCCAAATCAAGATGTTGATGAACCAAGATCCATACATGCTAAGCCTTACAGACATTAGTTTTAAAATACTAAAAGGAAACACCTATCATTGTGTAAAGATCTTTCGCAAGTCACAGGCTCATTTGTTCTGATTTGCAATCTAGAAATAATTTCCTACGCAGCCGTATAAAGCATTTTTTTTTTTGTTTGTTACTAAAAATTAGAACCCACACATTTTAGCATGCAGCTTACAGAAAACACTATGGGGGGAATTTATCAAAACTGGAGCAGACAAAATCTGGCGCAGTTGCCCATGGCAACCAATCAGCATCTCTCTTCAGTTTGCTCAGGTAAGATTTGAAAATGAGACAGAGAGGCTGATCGGTTGCAGTGCAAATCTGCTCCAGTTGAGATAAATC